ACAGTACTGGGCTAGTATTGATTGCACTTGGTAGATGACCTGTGTAGGATCATGATTGGTGATAGTACAAATATATTATAAAACTAGATATCTCAAGGCGGGAAAATAGGCAGGAATTTTGAGCTCTGTGTCTGCTTGGATTTTGGCAGTGAAAATCAGCAGCTGAGATCTAGGCATGCATGGAACTTGGGGTTTTCCCCCCCTGCTTCTGCAGGGAGCTCTGCAGAGGTGAGGAGAGAAGGATTTTAAGCTATGTGTCTGCTTGGATTTTGGCTGTGGAGATCCAGGCAGGCACGGATCAGCAGGGAGCTCTTTCAGCTAGCCCCCAGAGACAAAAAAGGAGTATTCGCGGCAGGCAGCAGCAGCTTGCAATCTTCCCTGCTGGCTTCCCCATTAACTTTCTGGGGAAGCCTGCAGAGAAAATTGCAAATGACAATCACATGGTTATGGGGCACTTGACAACTGGTTGAAAATGCAAAAGCACCCAGATTGCGTTGATGTGACTGCAAGGGAGGATTGTAACATTTTATGATGGTCATAAGTGCTTTTCAGGCCAAAAAGCCCCCTATAGAGGCTTTCGTAACTTTGAATAGTCATTAAGTGAGGACTACCTGTATGTTTGGGGCTTGCCTTCACTCGTGCGGTATTTTTGTTGCATTGTGGGGTTTTGGTTTTGGTTTTTTGTTGTTATTTGTCATTTTGCTTTTATCCTTTTAAGCCTATGTCAGCATCCAGAGCAGAGGTGGTATTCAGCAGGTTCTGACCATTTCTGGAGAACCGGTAGTGGAAATTTTGAGTAGTTCGGAGAACCGGTAAATACCAGCTCTGACTGGCCCCAGCCCCTTCTATTCTCTGCCTCCCGAGTCCCAGCTGATTGGGAGGAAATGGGGATTTTGCAGTATCCTTCTCCTGGAGTGGGGAGGGAATGGAGATTTTACAGTATCCTTCCCCTGCCACACCCACCAAGACATGCCATGCCCACCAAGCCACATCCACAGAACCGGCAGTAAAAAAATTTAAATCCCACCAGTGATCCAATGCTGTTCACTAGTTGGGTGAACTAGTCAATCATTAAAAAAAAAAAAAAAAAAAAAAAAAAATTAAAACCAATTTTTATATTCTGTTCTCTGGTATGAAAGAAATCATGCCTCAATTGTCTTCTGTGTAATATGATAGTGAAAGAGGGCTATCGTGTCTCCCTTAACTCATCATTTTTCAAGGCCGAACATACCCAGTTCCCTCAATGTCTCATTATTAGGGTTAGTTTCTAATCTCTTGATAATTTTTGTTGATGAAAATGGGCTTCATTTCAGTGCATTATTGCTGAAATAAATTACTTTTGGGGCTCCTTAAAAAAACAAATATATCTCTCTCATATATATTAAAATGTGATGCGAAAGGCAGATAGCAAGGTCATGTTTCAAGCAGCTGATTTAATATTGGTGTGAGGATGCTAAAGAAAGTTAATCTTTTTAAAAACTTTCTATACTGTTAGCATTATGTTCCCAAAAGTCTTATTGCTGATTGGAAAGTAGGTTATCTGATCAGCTTTATGCATCTCACCAACTCGGCATGCCACTTTTGGCGTGCAGCTTCATCAGCTGGATAGCAGGGTAGCACAGTGTATAATTTTAAGTCGAACAAGTGATTGGTATTACAGTGACAATAATTCTGTTGTAACAAGACTGATAGTTTCCAGGATTTAGAATTTAGATTTAGAACCATATTTAGTCTTCAATGGATAAGGATACATTCTAATATGAAATCATCATCACCATCTATCATTGTCATCACCATGTGGGGAAAAACGTTTTTCTTTATTTTTTATTGCTTTTAAAATAATTTTAAAAAAACAAAAAAACAAACACATTGATAATTATAATACAAAACCATATGTTCTCAAAGAAAAAATGCATATAAAAATGCTTAAAAAGAAAAAAAACATTAAAGTATAATATATCATTAATACAGTTAATTATAATTCTACATATACATGTCTAATGTAGACAAATACACACACACACAGTAGGTTTTTTAAAAATATATATAGCCCTTCACTTGCAACCACAATTGGGACCAAAATTACCCATTCCTAAACAAGGTGTTGTTAAAGGAGTAGCCCACAGTTTTACAACCTTTTTTTGCCACAGTTGTTAAGCGAATTACTACAGTTATTCACTCAGTCATTAAATAAATCCAACTTTGCCTGTTGAAAGCCAGCTGGGAAAGTTGCAAATGGCAATCACATAATTCAGGGATGCTGCAACAATCATAAATTCATGTTGATTGCCAAGCACCTAAAATTTGATAATATGACCATGGGGATGCTATGATGGTTGTAAGTGTGAGGACTGATCATAAGTCACTTTTTTCAGTAATTTTGAATGGTTGCTAAATTAATAGTTGTAACCTGAGGACTACCTATACTTATCCATATGTATCCACTCATAAGTAGCAAGTATAATCAGGTGTTCAAACCATTGAGTAAATGGGCCCATCATTTATCTTTTGAGTGTTGCAATGTCAGACTTTTAGCTGTAGTAAGGGCACAGAATACATTGATGTTGCCCAGTTGTCAAATTCCATGTATGTAGGTATGTAATTCAAGAGAATATTATTCTCTGAAAATTTTAGCTTTTGTCACACAGATATATATTATACACACATACACACAGATACATACATACACATATTCCACTACTTTTCCCCAAAATCAAATAAGTATACAGCATTGTAAAAACATGTTTTAGAGATGTACTGTCCTTATTGCATCTCTCACAAAATGCTCTTAAGACAGTCCTTTTTTATCCACACATAACAGAGTCTAACAAATTTTAACTATTATTTTTTGTGGCATAAATTGTTGCTTAAGATCCATTGTAGAAGGAAGTTCTGGCTGAGGGATTCTGAGAGTTGAAGTCCACAAATCTTAAAATTGCCCAGTTTCAATACTCTTGGTATAGGCAATATAGGAACCTCTAATTCTTTATTCTACAGATTTCTTAGCATTTTCCTATCAAATTGATTTCTTGATAACTAATATCTTTAAAAAATGAATAGTATTTTTTTTTTTAGTTTTAAAGTGTTTAACAAATTCTAGTATCTCGGGTGGTCCAGAAGCTGGAGATGCTGCTGGCCCAAAAAATTTGTTAACAGTGTTGTAGCTGTAAATATTGCCATTGGGTTACGTGTTATAAATGAAATTTATTGCTTAACATAGAACCGTGATGGCGAACCTATGGCATGCGTGCAAGAGGTGTCACACAGATCCCTCTCTGCGGGCAGTGAGCCATCACCCAGCTCAGCTTCACTGCGCATGTGTGCACACCTCCTGCCAGCCAGCTGATTTTTGGGATGCGCGGGGGTTGGGCACATGTGGGAGATGCGTGTGCATGTGCAGGGTGGGTGGGGTGTGCATGTCTGGGGGATGGGGGAGTGTGTAGGGTGCGATGTGCCCCCGACGGCCCATATTTGGGCCCAGGAGGCTACAGGGAGGCCTATTAGGCCCAAAACGGGGGGGGGGGGGGGCGCATGCCCATGCACGGGGGGGGGGAGAGGGAATATGTGGGGAGTCATGTGCGCATGTGTGGGGGGCATGCTGGGTCTCATGCACTATGGGTGCCGGCACACACCCGCGCTGTCGCGCACACATGCGTGCTTTCGGCGAAGAGAAAAAGGTTAGCCATCACTGACATAGAATATGTTAAAATTCAACTGCGTTGTCTATTAGTTGATGCAAAGTCAGTATCTCTACTTCCATCCAATTCTTCCATGTTATCATCTTTTTCCCAATTTTTAAAATTGAGCTTTCTCATAAGGTCAATTTAGGCTGGAAAAGGGAGAAAATCTTTTTTTTTTTTTTAGACATTACATTCCAGAACTTTCTAACGGACATAATTGTTTCCAGAAATACTAGCTTCAGACTTGGAAAACTGAATCTACCCTCATCAATTGGTAATTGCATATTTTGTAAAGATATTCGTGGGATTGAAAAATACCTTAGAAATTTTGTAAGCAAAGAATTTATTTTCTGAAAATACTTTCCAGATATATGAACTGGAATTCCTCTCAGAATATAAATTAATCTGGGAATAATATTCATTTTGAAAGTGCTCATTTTTCTCCAAAGGGTGAGTTTTAATGACTCCCTTCTATTGATATTTGAAGAAAATTCTATATTTTATTTATATTACTGTACTTGTTATTAATTTAATTTTTTCTTTTGGTACATACATACCTATACCACATGGAGCAAAAAATGATACATGATAATGATTGAGAGTGCATTTAGAAAAAAAGGACAAATACGGTAACTGCTATTAAGAACGTAGCTGTTCATATTGATTGGGATTGGGAAAACTATTCTAGTTGTTTGTATTTTGAAAAATAATGACAACAATGTCATCAACAATGGTATGTGCCATATCACAGTGCTTCTAAAAATTTAGGAAGTATGTGATGTGCTATGTAAGATATAAACCCAAAGATCCTTTTTGGAACTGATTGTATTGTTTTTAGCCTTTGATAAGGAGCGCCAAAACAAACTAACTAACTCAGGTTAGTGGTTGTTCTTTATATTCTCTTTGTGTTTTGGTGCTGAGTAGCAAAGAACAGCAAATGTTCTCATAAAGGACACAAAAGAGGTTTATTTTGTAGAAGAAATCAGAGCATTTAGCAGTATTGATTTGAATATTTTGAAAATGCATTTCCATCTGTTGTTACAGGATTATCCTAAATATTGCCAACATTTAATCCATAGAAACAAATTCTTTCACATCTCTATCTGTAGTTGTGTTCTGAGATATAGATAGTGATGACATAAAATTGCAGTAGTAATTTATTCTAGGTTTAGCATGCTAAAATATGTTTATTTGCAGAAGGACAACTTTTTAAGTAGAATGATATTTCAATCTGAAGTTATCTTCCACTATAATTCTATAAGTTTTTATTAAATTATCATTCCTTCTAAACAATTTGTGTTTTTTGTTTTATTTGCCCAGGAGTTAAATAGCTTTAATTACTTGGATCTCTATAAACTTGCTGATCTTTTCAACCTAAATCTTCTGGAGAAAGCCGTGGTTGATTTTTTAGTGAAACATCTCTCAGAACTACTAAATAACCACCCCGATGAAGTCCTTGCGCTGCCATATTGTCTCATCCAAGAAGTTTTTAAAAGTGATCAACTCACGTCACTCAGCGAAGAACAAATCTGGCAGGTAATATACAAAGAATGATTAAACTGTTCAAAGACTAGTATTGTACATCCATAACTAGGGAACTAATTTATTGATTGATTAATCTTACGACTGTGTCAAAGAAAATAAAACGAAGTGGAATATAATGTCTATTTCCAAAATAAAAAGAGGTAAAAGACTACAGCAAATGACAAAAAACAATAAAAGAAAAGCATTAGGAATTAATTATTAGTGCAATATTAATTAATTATTGCCCCGAAAAAGTACTAGGGGGCATTCTGAAGACTGCTTTACTCCTTTGACAAGAATGCAAGTAAAACGTCATTGTTCCAGAAGAGGAGGGAGGGGTTGATAATATCCCAACATACTGAAGGCCTCCATATGCCAAGAAGGGGCTCTAAAATAGAGCAGGGGTTAACGAATACAGCTAATTGGTTGGGGGATTATATTCTCAGCTTTTGCTGCATAGCTTGTATCTTTAGATTCTTAGCATAAGAGGCTCTTCGTATTCAATGCAGTCTACTTTACAGTTAGGAAAATATGCAGAGATAAGCTGAAATATGCTTTGCCAAAACCAAAAATAGATGTTCAGTTCATTTCTCTTATATTTAGTAATATTAGTCTGTGTATAATAACTATCAGTAGCAGTTTCCTTGAAGGACAAGATATACATCCCTAATAAGTAATTTGATGAAGTTGATCTTGGAGGAAGTGGCTGATAAATTGGCATGTCAACATGATCCTTTAAATCCCATAGCTATCACACTTCTTATCAGTGGAGATTGTCTGAAGTGTCCAAATGTCTGAACCGGGCTAAAATATAAATAGGCTTTGTCTGACTAAATTGAGTTTCTTAGTAAGAAATCTTTGTTGTATTTAAGTAGTTGGGCTTTTCAGAACTCAACATTCAAAGTAAAAAAGATGCTTTAGAGCGTATGGGACTATGCATGTAGTACCTCTCTGTAGATGTAGCACCTGAAGGCATGACATGAAGCAATGGATGGAAACTAATCAAGGCGAGAACCAACCTAGAAATAAAGAGAAATTTCCTGACAGTTAGGACAGTTTAATCAGTGGAACAGCTTGCCTCCAGAAGTTGTGAATGCTCCAACGCGGGAGGTTTTTAAGAAGAGATGGGACAACCATTTGTCTGAAATGTTATAGGGTTTCCTGCTTGAGCAGGGGGTTGGGCTAGAAGACTTCCAATGTCCCTTCCAACTCTGTTATTCTGTTCTGTAGATATTCAAACGAAAAGTTTTTCTGGGATTGTGCTGAAGCTGTGGAGGCCAGCTGCATAATCCTGGCAGGAAAGGGCAGCTTCTTTCAGAAGAAGGTGCTATGGATGAGTGCCCCATGCACTCTGAAGCACTTTTTTATGTTTGAATCTGAAGCGCTATACAATGCTATTAAATAATATATCCTCATCTCTTTACACTCTGCCCTGGAAGCATCTTAAACAGAAGCAGGAACTTCTTATGAATGGTGGATTCTGGCTGAAGAGTTTTAGTTCAGTGCCATTGTTTTGGAGCCATTCAACAGTTCAAAATTTCTCCTCCTTCCCCTACTTTGAGCAGGAGTGCAAAATTCACATCGCGGGGGGGGGGGGGCAGGAATGAGTTTACCACATTCCAATGAGAGAAATGCACGTGTGGAGTTGTCAGAAAATATGGCTTATACTGAAATGCAGTAGGATCACCATTTCCCCAAGTCATGAAGCATTATGAGAACCAGAACTTTTGCAGAACATTATGGTCTGTTTCTCCCCCCCACATGCTGCATGGTTCCCACAGCTATTTTTGCTTTTGTGCTTCTCTGCTGCCTCGCATTTGGTATTGCAAATAGTGCATTCGGTTATGACAAAAGTGCTGCTTTCTTTCTGAGTGACAGCAAGCACTGCACTGGCCATTCTAGGTGTTATTCTAATTGCCTCTCTAATGGTTACTAATGCCATTACCTAGAATCTTTAAGCTATTTTACTGCTGTGGGCAAAATGAATGAAACCAGAATTTCATTCCTGGACCTCTAGAATGAATTAAGACACACATAAATATTTGCCAATTTAAGCTTTGAGTGGGAAGTAAGTAACTGTTTTTGTTTTATCTTAGTAAATAAGCAATTCCTTCACAGTCAACCCAATACATGAAAATCAAATCAGGGCTGCTCTGTTGCCTCGAGTGTAGTTAAGTTCATCATTTTTGTTAAGGTTATACTGTTAAAGCAATATACCATGGAAGAATCTAATATTCAGCCCAGGGTGAAGATTGGGTATGCCAGAGGATTAGTGTCAGGGTGCTTTAGAGAAGTGAAACTTGATATACAGGCTGGAGCCAGAGCTACAGAATCTCATTAAATTGCTGAATTGTTCATTACTGAGCACTCTCTCTTTAATAAAGTGCTCATTGACTTTGACAAATCCCCATCCTATGTCTTAAAGGACAACAACAGGGTAAGAGGCATTGGAGAGGGAGGGGGCTCCTGGCTTCAAATTTGGGTGGGGGCATTGGTGGAAAAGCAGTAGGAAAGCTGGTGAACAATACTACTCAAGTGTGTTAAATCGGTGAGGTGTTGGTAAAAGCCAGCTGCAGCCATGTTGTGTATGCACATGCATGAACAGGAAGAACTCTGATTTAGTATTCCCCCCCAAGGCATCATCCACTAGTTGTGCTTCCAATAAGCATCGACCACAAATTTAATGGTGTCTCTGCGCTTTCCTTTTCCCAAGGGCAGGGCGCTTGGAGTGGATAGCAATATTGCCTAGGCATAAATAATTCCTACACTCTTGTTACTGAAATGATGACTCATATTCGGTATACTGGCTGAACAATTTAGAAGAAAAATATTTATCTTGAATATTGGTAAGGCCAGGCTAAAGACAGATATGATGGTGGCTATCATGGAGTTCTGGTCACATGATCCTTGTGTAGATAGTTTCATAGTTCGTACTTTGCCAGGGAATGTCCCCGATTTGTGATAGCCAGTAAACAAGTGCTAATGCTTAAAAACTTGGTAAATGTTAAAAACAAACTCTGGGTAGAATTTGAATATAAGAAAATGCTACGATGCCAGCATTAGCATACTTGAATTCTTATACACCAAAAGGTTTTTTTCTCTGATGAAAACACAGATGCCTTCTTTTCAAAATCAGACAGCAGCGGCATAAGTATCACCTTGCAGGCTATGACCCAATAAAGGTCACATCTTTTTATGAAAATATTTTGGGACTTGCTGTGTTTAACATCACAGTTAAATGTGCACAAAATGTAGAAAATCACAACATATTTTTTTCCTTTATTCTATGCTAATTTTCAAAGTCTGGCTCAGAAAGTAAGATAAAGACAATCTTTAGAGAAATTGCAATTTCACAGCACGTAGAAGGATTACAACAAGGATTGTCTGTTGCAAAAACCTCAGGACAGCCAAGGATCTGATGAGTATCAACTCTGTACTCTAGATGTTTGGGAATTCTGGCTAATACATTTCTGCAAGCCTAAAATATTATTAATATTATTGTTTGGTCCCATAGTCAGCCAGATGGTTAGGCTGAATTTGGCATTTTTATCTACAGTACCTATTGGGTTAGGCAGATGTTGTTGTTATAGGTATCGTAGCAGGATGTAAGCTGTTCCAAGTAGAGCTGCCTTTTGCAATTTACTGACAGTAATTTTGTCAATACCATAGTATTCAAATGATATCTCTGTTGTTTTAGGATTGCACCCAAGGTGCCTATTACTATTGGTAGTATCTTTGCTTTCTTTTGCCACAGTTCTTCTACTTCTATTTGCAGTCTTTGTATTTTGTTATTTTCTCTCTTTCTTTGTCTTCTCTTCTGCTGTCTCCAGATATTACATCCACTATTCAGACCTTTTGTCTTTCTTAACAACAATCTGTTGATAAATCTGCTGTTAAATCTGGGGTGTTATGTGGTGCAGACACACAGACACACGTCAATTGAAAAGTAAGGCTTTATACTATATACACAGAGGTTGAGGTAGCAAAAATAGATCCTCTTATGGTTTCATGCTTTGTGGCTTGTGTGATGTGATTTTAAAAAAGAAGAGAACAATTCTCACAATCTAACAGCCATACTTCAGAGACCATCCTAGATGAGGAAAGCCTGGTCTGGGAGAAAGACATATCTCTCTCCCCTGCTTCCCCATTTCTGTGTTGGAAATATACTTTCTTAGAATATGCTATGCTGTTCACAGTTCTTGACTTTGTTGAATAGAAAATATATTATCACCAGTTAGGAAAAGACTGAAATAAAAAGAGGTAACAGCACAGCAAGCAACCACATTGAAAGAATGAAGCACAGCAGTTTGTAGGAAGACAGGAGGGCAAAACATGAAGACATCCTGTGTGGGTGTTCAGAATTGTGGGAGTTATAGTCCAAAATACTTGAAGGACCCTAGATCACTTATTCCTTGCTTTATTGAATATGCATTATTGTGTTGGCATATTGTGTTGTCTTTTGGTTTAGACAGCTCATTTGAAGGATAGGGAATGATGAGTTTGGAAATGAGAACTTAAAAAGACAAGAGTTGAATTTGATTCATATGTTAACAATATGTTTGGCTATTTTGAATTTAGAATAGATCCAAATATGTCATAGTGTGAAATCCTTATTTTCAGAATGTGTCTTTATTTTGTAACTCTGTGGTAGGCCTACATTCTTTGCTTCCATTTTTATTTTAGAGGTAGAAAAATAATAAAAACAGGAAAAAATGTTCAATGTCTTTTGGCTGGTTGCACCAGAAACTTGATCTGGATACATTCCTAGTCTGTATTTCGATTGATTCTGGGTAAGTCTGATATAATCAGTTATGTTTTTCTGCTGATTTTACATAGTAATACTATAATCTTAAACATACAGATAGTCGTTAACAATATTTAGCACAATGACTACATTTGAATATGTCTTCTAGAGGTCTTTCTGTTCTTTTTCTACAGAACTGAAGGAAAAAAATAGAGTAGCTCAGCTTCAACATAAGATATTCAAGGTTTTTAAAAAGTCTTTGATTTCA